TTTAAAAATCTAGAAATTTTTTAAAAAGAAAAAAGTCCCAAAACATGGTCACAAAAATGTACTACAGTGAGATTACACTGACACATTAAGTTTCCCACTGTTTTCTATGATTCTAAAGCAGTAATGTGAATATCTTTCAATAAGACTGTAATTTAATTTTTCCAGGGAAATATTTTTAATAGGATTACTGACCCTTTTAACACTCTTGGAAAGAAAATGAATCCCATAACCATTCTGGCACATAACTATTATAAAAATAAATAGAACAGTCAATCAGTAGAAATGGTAATGGACTTGAGAAACTGAACTTACTAAGGAAATGTACATAAGTATGCATAGTGATAAACACTTTAACAGAGAAAAGATTCATGGCAAATCAGCCAAACAACCAAACACAGTGAGACAAATGAAGGACCTGGAAGGCAAGAGATGGGGAACATGATCTGAACTTTGAAGGAAGAGCCTTAATGTTTTTCTCAAACAGAGCTGACTATATTAACCTAGATCAAATCTCTAAGCTATCATTCAACTCTTAGGTGTGTCCCTAAGTCCTACTTGGTTTTTCAGATGGTACTGAAATATTTCAGAGGAAAAGAGGACACTCCTGATTTTTTTTTATTTACTTATTTATTTTTTGTACTAGGGATCGAACTCAGGTCCTTGCGCTTGTGCAGCAGGCAGCGAAACCACTGAGCTAAATCCCCGGCCCTAGGACACTCCTGATTTAAGGCATATTTTTGCACTCACAACTCTTTATGCTTTAAGAGGAATTTTTTCAGGTCATTAGTTTATAATGTGAACCAGCGCCTAGGGATGTTTTGAAAGGAAAAAACAATTTGTGTGCTTGGAGATACAGTTTATGTGACTTGTGTTATCATTTATTTCAGCTCAGTTTTGGGTTCTGTACTGAACTCAAAATGAAATCACCATATCTGCAACAGTTTTTGCTCTGGATGCAATGATCATACCAGAATCTGAAACCAGACTAGACCTCTTGTCCCCCCCAAAAAATACAGTATAACCCCTTAAAATATCAAACTTCTGGCAAAAAGTTTTCATTACTCCAGGGTACTAAAATGAAATTAGTGGGCTGGGGATTTAGCCTGCCCCGTAAGTGCAAGGACTCAAATTCGATCCCCGGTACCAAAAAAATAAAAAATAAAAATAAAATAAAATTAGCCACACAAGTAATTTCCAAAATAATTTGAATTTTCAAAATTGGCACACCAAAATTTATGAATTCTGCCAGTTTTATCTTTGTTTGAGTCCAGAAAACAGGAACTTGATCATTAGGCTCAGAAAAAGCAAGCATGTTCCTAAACCCAAATTCTTAAACTAAAGATGATTCGTCTATTCTCAAGATGAACTTCATCTACACGTCATATCAAAACAGATCATTCACAGACAGTCCCAAAGTTAGTTTGATAATCCTAAATTCTCCATTTCCAATAAGTGTAACTAAAACCTACAGGCAATGGTTTTTTTTGTTGTTTATGTATAAACAAAATAGATACCAATGTTATTCTACAGGTTGAGTATCCTTTAAAGTGCTTGCAACCAGAAGTGTTTCGAATTTCAGATTTGTTCATATTTTGGAATACCTGCATATACATAATGAGATATCTTGGGGATGAGTCCCAAATCAACACATTTATAAAATTCATTTGTGTTTCATATATATGTTAGCTGGAAGATAATGTTACACAATACTTTTTTTACTGTACTGGTGTTTTGACTTTGACTTGTCACATGAAGTCAAGAGTGGCATTTTCTATCCGTAGCACCATGTTGGTGCTCAAAAAGTTTTAGATATTAAAGCATTTCAGATTTCAGATTTTCAGATGAAGGAGACTCAACCTGTACTGTGCATGTTCATTATAACTACTTCTCTTTTATATTTGTTTAGAATGTATGAATCAACACTTACAAGCATGAGACCAGGTTTCCTAACAGTGTCATGACCTTGAAGATTATGACCCTCCCCTCCTCACCCTTGGGTACATATTAGAATTGCCAGAAGAGTCTTCAAAAAATACCAATTTCTTGACCCAAGAGGAGCTTCAGAGTGGGCTCTGCTACCAGTGCATTCCAAAAGCTCTCCAGGTGAGTCTAATGCACAGCTGGAGAAGCAGTGACTTCAAGGAGATCCTCGAATGTGGATCAATAGCCAAGAAAGGACCATGGCTGAGAGCAAGCCAACAACAATCTGAGGCAGAACCTAGAACAAAGATTACAACTCTCGTGCCCATGAGTGCCATTTAGGTGAACAAACCACACAATGTATGCACATTATTTTCAGACTGAGTATGACAGCATGACAAGCTAGAGAGCTCATGGGACTGGGGATCGTGAGCTCCAGCTGACATTGCCAGGAGGAAAATCATAAGTAACAGATCTCATGCCATCAGATTAAATGAAGCAAATCAAGTCTTTCAGGTAAAATCATCCAAATTTTAAGTGTTGACTTAATTAAAAATATCAACACTAGTTTAGTGCATGGTGAGAGATACAGGTCTAGTTTTAATCTTTGGCAAGATGAAACCCAATTTTTCCAGCACCATTTATTAAAGAGTCTATCTTTCCTCCAGTGAGGGTGTTTGGCTCCTTT